TATATATATATATATATATATATTTGGTAGAGTGGTGGCAGTGGTAGTTGCTTCTTTTTACTTCTCCAACGGCAGGGGTAGGCAGGGCACCTTCCCCTGGGATTCTGCCACCAGAGGTGGCTGCCTCAGTCCACCTTATGGGCGGGCCGGCCATCCTAGTCTCAGAATGTTCTTCTGACTCAGCCATTTCACCAGAGGTTTTTTTTTCTGAAAAGGAAGAGAATCCTAACCTGTTTCCCCACATACTCATTATTTTGGGTAGTAACCTCAGAAGAGCCAAGTCACTCTGCTTTTGCCAGTATATCATTAATCCACCTTCCACCCACCCAATGTAAACAGTTAAGCACCAGATTATCCAGGTCCTTTTAACCCTCTTCAACTTAGATTGACCCCTTGGGCATGTGGAAAGCTAAAAGGTTACTGCATGAGGATAATTGCATGCACAAGTTCTCAGAGTTAATAGTCTATTTTGCTGCAACTGCTGCCGGTTTGATGTGATCTGGATTGGTACATCTGGAATAGTACAATTACATGAAAAGTTGGACACGTGTGTGTGTGCATGCATGTGTGCAATCTAATGATCACAATGCAGCTATTCATACTTTAAAGAGTTCAAGTGGAAACTCAAGGATATTCACAAATGCTTGCATTGATTTGTGAGTTTATGCATTGTCTTGCTATGAAGTACAGTGGTACCTCGGGTAACGTAATTTTGGGTTGCGAACACGGCATGCACAGAAGTGCTCTATCGCGCCATGCGCGTGCGCAGAAGCAGCACCTCTGGATACGGACTTTTCGGGGTAAGTGCGGACCCCCGGGATGAATTAAGTTCATATCCGGAGGGTCCACTGTATTCAAATAAGCTGGGGTGGGGGTGGGGAGGCTGTAATACCAATTATACCAATTATACCACTCTATTCCCATGAACTCTCACAACCTATGTAAAGGACCCCTGGACAGTTAAATCCAGTCAAAGGTGACTATGGAGTTGCATCGCTCATCTCACTTTCAAGCCAAGGGAGCTGGCATTTGTCCACAGACAGCTTTCCGGGTCATGTGGCCAGAATGACTAAACTGCTTCTGGAGCAACGGGACACCATGATGGAAACCAGAGTGCATGGAGATGCCGTTTAGAATCATAGAATCATAGAGTTGGAAGAGACCACAAGGGCCATCGAGTCCAACCCCCTGCCAAGCAGGAAACACCATCAGAGCACTCCTGACATATGGTTGTCAAGCCTCTGCTTAAAGACCTCCAAATCAGGAGACTCCACCACACTCCTTGGCAGCAAATTCCACTGTCGAACAGCTCTTACTGTCAGGAAGTTCTTCCTAATGTTTAGGTGGAATCTTCTTTCTTGTAGTTTGGATCCATTGCTCCGTGTCCGCTTCTCTGGAGCAGCAGAAAACAACCTTTCTCCCTCCTCTATGTGACATCCTTTTATATATTTGAACATGGCTATCATATCACCCCTTAACCTCCTCTTCTCCAGGCTAAACATGCCCAGCTCCCTTAGCCGTTCCTCATAAGGCATCGTTTCCAGGCCTTTGACCATTTTGGTTGCCTCCTCTGGACACGTTCCAGTTTGTCAGTGTCCTTCTTGAACTGTGGTGCCCAGAACTGGACACAGTACTCCAGGTGAGGTCTGACCAGAGCAGAATACAGTGGCACTATTACTTCCCTTGATCTAGATGCTATACTCCTATTGATGCAGCCCAGAATTGCGTTGGCTTTTTTAGCTGCCACGTCACACTGTTGGCTCATGTCAAGTTTGTGGTCAACCAAGACTCCTAGATCCTTTTCACATGTACTGCTCTCAAGCCAGGTGTCCCCCATCTTGTATTTGTGCCTCTCATTTTTTTGCCCAAGTGCAATACTTTACATTTCTCCCTGTTAAAATTCATCTTGTTTGTTTTGGCCCAGTTCTCTAATCTGTCAAGGTCGTTTTGAAGTGTGATCCTGTCCTCTGGGGTGTTAGCCACCTCCCAGTTTGGTGTCATCTGCAAATTTGATCAGGATGCCCTTGAGTCCATCATCCAAGTCGTTGATAAAGATGTTGAATAAGACCGGGCCCACGACAGAACCCTGTGGCACCCCACTAGTCACTCTTCTCCAGGATGAAGAGGAACCATTGATGAGCACCCTTTGGGTTCGGTCAGTCAGCCAGTTACAAATCCACTGAGTGGTAGCATAGTCAAGACCGCATTTTACCAGCTTCTTTACAAGAATATCATGGGGCACCTTGTCAAATGCCTTGCTGAAATCAAGGTAGGCTACATCCACTGCGTTCCCTTCATCTACCAGGCTTGTAATTCTGTCAAAAAACGAGATCAGTTTACCTTCCCACCACAGTGGTACCTATTTATCTACTTGCACTGGCATGCTTTCGAGCTGCTACAGGAGCTCACCCTGTCACGGGGCTTCGAACTGCCGACCTTCTGATTGGCAAGCCCAAGAGGCTTAGTGGTATAGACCACAGCTCCACCTGCGTGTACAACCTATGTACAGAGACCCAGTTCATGTCCTACCCTGGTCCACATCCAGCATTCATATACTTGGGCTGCAATTCTATACTTACTGGTTTGGGAGTAAGCCCCACTGAACTCACTCATAATTTTAGTGTCAGGGAAGATGATAATTATTTTGCCGACTATTGACAATGTGTTTTTGCTGCGGTTTTGCTGGGTTTGCTTTACAGGTTACAATGCAAAATAACCCATGCATTGTTATTTTTCTTTAAAATCTTCTCCTTTTCCCTTATGGGGCATCCAAGAGCCCGTATAGAGTCCTTAAGTGGGTTCCCTATCGGTAGGAGAAAATAACAGAGGCCAACCAGAGAATATTGAGAAGCAAAGCAGCTAGTAAGCCTGATCTTTATTAAATTGTTGCAACAGGGTCCTCACTCACCACAAGCAGGAGGGAGGAGGAACCCAGAACAATGGGACACAAGCCCTTATACAGACTTTTGAAATTGCCTGCCCTGCAGCTCAAGACCCACCCCCCAAAACATCATACATACATCACAGAAGGAGGCGGTCTGCAGAAGAAATCCTGTCTGCCAGGATACCTGACAATGGCCAGTGATAGCTTACTTGGGCAGCCCAGCCATTCTTTTGTGATGGTAAATACTTTAATTCCTGAAACCAGCTCACAGGCTCACCCTATTCATACACAAAAATGCCCTAAAGACAGGTAAGCAAAAGACAATGAAGAGGCTTTCCCATGTCCTTCCTCCTTACAGAGAAACATTTGAAGTCAATGGTTTCAGGATTGTTCTCCTGTACTATTTTAGACACATGGTTTACATACTTATATATGTGTTTGCCTTGTAAATTATGACCTTAAATTCTTATAACACCACCCTTTATGCTTTCGAACTTTGTAAGATGCTTGGAGGCATATTATGTGTTAAGCAACTAATAGAACAAGAACTACTACTGTTGTTATTTATTAGTATTATTGACATGTATAGGATTAAACCGTCAATCTAACAATTTGCTAGAGGGCTGCCTCAACCTCTTCTGTAACACTTTCCACCAACTGCTCCATCCAGTTCCTTGGCTTTATGTGCAATATTTTTTTATTTAAAAAATTGTAATTCTGAGCAGTTGGAATGTTCATAAATTTCCATACCACTTCAACAGCTGAGACCATGACTCAGGAATATCCAGCTATAGATTTAAGTGAAATCACTTGTAGCCAATAGCAACAAAGGCTGAAGCTTTCATTTACTTCATATTGTTTTCCTTTCTCAAGTTTATCTGATTTTGGTAGCAATTAAGCAAACACACTGTTTTCCCACAAGCCTATGATTTTGTACTTTACTTTTAACTGTCATCTCTCTGTGATCACAGCAGGGCCCTGTAGATTATCCAGCACTGCCTTTGACTTCACAGATAGATGGATACATAACCAAACACTTGTGTTCTGCTTCTTGCATCTTTTGTGTGAATTTGGGTTGTTCTCATGTTCAACAAAGCGTTGGACATTTTAAAACAAAATTAAAAGTCAAACTTTATTACTGCAGAAGCCATTAAACATAATCTGAGCAGTACTATAAATGATGAGGAAAAAGAGCCCTCAAATAATACAAGTATGGTTATAAATTATTTCCATACTGCTCTACATAAAAGTATTCCTAGATTTAACTTTAATAGTCAACACTGCACACCCACACACGAAGCCACAAAATAAACATATTTTTTCCCTCTCGTGTCCGGACTGTATTTCAGCATATGAACACAAGCAATAAAACTCTTTTAACAGAACAACAGATTGTTTCGGTAAATTACTTCTGTGCCTTTAGCAAAGATTCCAAGACATGGGAGTAAACATTCCTTGGTGTTTCCATTTCTGAACTAAAGCCACTTGAAAGAAAACTCATTCTTAGTATTTTGTCAGTGTCTTGAGGGGAGTTTAACTTGGTACAATGGATTTATATTAATGTTGTTTACTCCCTTGCGACATGGATTTTCCACTGCCAGCTACTCTTCTTGCAATGTTCTCACCGAGTTAAATTTATGTTAATGAAGAACCGGTCTGGTCATTTCCCAGATATGAGTATTTACACTCTGCCTACCAAACACAGACATTTCATTTTTTTCCTGATGAAAACTAACGGCCCTGTCTGTTCAGTAACTATGAGACCTGACTTCTCCCTGTTCATCATGGCCACTTCATTCTTGCTTGCTGCTTTGCTTTTTGTGAGGATGGGCCAGCCCAGCGGTTCTCAACCTGTGGGTCCCCAGATGTTGTTGGACTACAACTCCCATCATCCCTGAGCTCTGGCCTTGCTAGCTAGGGGTGATGGGAGTTGTAGTTCAACAACATCTGGGGACCCACAGGTTGAGAAAGGCTAGGCCAGGCCAAGGCAGAGTGAAGCAGAAAACAGCAACATTGGAAAGGAAGCAAAATTGTTCAGTGTACTGGTCCCTATGGGTTGTATGCAACTAAGCCCTACTCAGAGTAGACCCTTTGAAATAAGTGATCCTAAGTTACCGTTCCAAGTTGGCACAATGGGTCCATGTGTCTGGCTGTTAACCAGAAGGTTAGTAGTTCGAGCCCACCCAGGGACAGCTGCGGGCACGATTCCTGCATTGCAGGGAGTTGGACCAGATGACTCTGGAGGTCCTTTCCAACTCTACAATTCTACGATCCTATGCATGTTTACCTGGGAGAAAACACCAGTGAATTCAATGCTTTCTTTGGCGATCACTTGTAGCCGAGTAAGATTGTCTTCCATAAACACGGTTTTAACAATAAGTCCGTAAGTGACTGTGGAGGCCAATTCTGGATCCACATGTCCTTCCACAGTGAGGACATTGGTTTCTGGGCAGGAGTTGATCACGGTGTGGATTTGCCAAGCGTGCCTTCCTCTTAGCACGTTTCTCCCTTGCGCCCTGGGTCTGAGTGTCTTCAAAGCCTTTGGTAAAGGCTGTTTTCCAACTGGAGCGCTCGCAGGCCAGTGTTTCCCAGTTGTCAGTGTTTATACTCCCAAGTGGATATGAATATGATCACAGCCTCGGTTTTTAAAACTAGACGCGAAAAATCAGATCTGCGGGAAAGCGCATACCTAACAACCCACCACCACTTTTCTATTTAGCCATGGGACTCATTTGTGTGAAGTAAAGGATGCAACTGTTCCAACTGGAGTGGCATTCACCCAGAACCAAGACCAGATTAATTGCATTCACAGAACATGTCTTACCGTCAACCCCCATTGTTTATTGGGGAAACGTGCTCTCTGTCCTAGCAGTCCCAACCACTAATCCCAGAGGGTGATAAAGGGTTAGTCGCAGTTACTTAGTAATCTGCTATTAAGGACCTGCTTGCTTAGGGCGTGTGAGCACATGCATGTGATGTCCTGTCGTGCCATCCCTCCTCATTTCCTTCAACTGTCTCCTTTTCCACCTCTTCCCTGAAAGTGATGGCTACCAACCTACCCTGTTGTCTGAACAAGGCCCTTGAGCTACTTTGTCCAGAAAAGGCAATGAGTAGTTTGTAATACGACATAGCAATCTGCTTGCCAAAGTAAAAGCATCAAAAATCCCCCAGAGCGTGTCTAAATACCTGAGCATGCTGAATGTAGCTCTTTGGAGCCTGGCCAGTTCATTAACTAATTTACTGTTTTGCTTGCATTGTCTCACTTGCCTTGTTGTTCTCTATTGCATTGCCTTATTTGCTAAAGGTTGTTCCATCTATTTGGACATTTTATTAATGGGGAAACTAGTTAATAAATACACCCGTTTTTTAAGTGTTACTTTTTCTAAAAAGTACCATTAATCTCCACCAAGAAAAGCTGCATTTTGAAGTAGTACAGTGATACCTAGGGTTAAGAACTTAATTTGTTCTGGAGGTCCATTCTTAACCTGAAACTGTTCTTAACCTGAAGCACCACTTTAGCTAATGGGGCCTCCCACTGCCGCCATGCCGCTGCTGCACAATTTCTGTTCTCATCCTGAAGCAAAGTTCTTAACCTGAAGCACTATTTCTGGGTTAGTGGAGTCTGTAACCTGAAGCGTCTGTAACCTGAAGCGTCTGTAACCTGAAGCGTCTGTAACCCGAGGTACCACTGTATTGTAAAAGTAGCAAGAGCCTCACTGGTGGAAGAGAATATATAAAAAGGCCCCAAAGATGAGGAAAAGGGTTATTTGCATTTGTTTCATTACCTGTGCCTCCTGGACCACCCATAGTGGATCAGCTGGCAATAATCAGACAGCCGTTTGCCTAAAGTGTTTTGCTTTTACCATAGTCATCTGTTCAGTTCTATGAAGTTATACTTGTGGGGCTTTCAGCGGTAGAGATTTCTTTCAAGTGTTGATTATTTAGCTTCATTCTGAATACAAATTGTGCTCCGATCGACCAGAGAACTTTGTAAGGAAGTCCAATTTTCAAGCAAACAATGAAAAAGCAGATGGTTGTCACTTGTCCCAAAAGGAGGAACATGATACAGATCTAGTGCGGATGCCGAGCAAGTCTGGTTTTAAAAAGTATCCACGTAGAAAACTACCTGAGAACCATACTTAAACTGCTCTTAGCCCTTCAAAGGAAATACTGAATACAAATTCAATTTTTAAAAGTTTGTAGAGTCCATGTGGTCTTACCTATACCAGATGCTGTGCTCTATTTATCAATTGTGGTGGCCTTGAGCTACAAGATATAAAATGCATACACCCACACCATATCATGTTGTGTACGATCAGGAGAATGTTCACATAGCAAGATATAAACACCTTCAAATCTACTGAAACAATCAAGTTTTACAGTTCCTGAAACCTGATATCAACCTGAGCCTCCTCCCTGGTGTGAAAGTCTTAAGTCCACTTCTTGTTTGTGCCTTATGACTCACTGCAGGAACCAGGGAAACAAAAAAGCATTTTAGACGGTGAAGACGGAAGTTATTTTATTAGTGTCTCGAAGCCAAACCATGCATAAATGGGTGCTGGTCACTTCCCACCATGAATATTCCTGTTCTTCCACGTGTGGGACAGTGAGCCAATTTGCTGCTACCACACTCCCCTAATGCTTCCCATGCTCTCATTGGTAAACAACATGGTTTTATATATTATGTTGTTAGCTGCCCTGAGAGTTCCACGGACTCATCTCCGGTGGCTTTTAAATGTTAAATTAAAATCAATAATAGAAACCTTGCATATAGTGCACAGGTCATAGTCACCTGCAGCCACATGAGTATAGGCATTATGGCAGTAACCACACAAGCACATATATTACAACAAGGCATCTAGCTACTCCTGCACACAGGTCACTGAGCACCAGCGTGCTACTTTTTCTTACAACTCAGTGAGCCAGAAAGCGAAAGGAATGAGCTTCAGGACAGGAGCTGTAGTGTGAGCACCTTTCGGGCTTGTTCCAGCCTAGTAAAACATTCATCAATTATCTCCAGCGTGAAGATAGGCGGAATCAGCAGAATTCCTCCATCCATGACAAGGACTTAGTGGAACATTTCCCCTTGCATAGAAAGAAGGAGGGTTGAGGGAAAGAGTGGCAGAACTTGAAAGCCACAGCTCCTGGAAGACCCATGGTAATGTTGTTGTACAAGGATCAGATGGCTGCAGTGCTGCAACCCCAGCATTAAGGTCTCATACATTTGCTCAATCAATCAATCAATCAATCAATGTGTATTATGGCAAACAGCCAACATACTGCTTAATCAGAATGCTGGAGAAATGAAGTGATTGGGTCAGTCCCTTTATTGGTGTAATGCAGCAACACTATTTATTTTTTACATCAGCTGCACACATTGACCACAGAGTGTACCATAAGTTATAAGGAAGTACTATTATTCTACACATTCACCCTGTGCCTGTGTTAGATCACTAGCACAGCTAGGTCATTTTAGACTCTGGACTGAATAGCCTGATGGGAAGATTCTTCAGATAGTCACTTACATCATTTCGTTTGCTTCAGAAATTTGATAAGCCAGTCTCTCCTACCATTGTAGCCCATTCTGCTGAGTGGGGCCCTGAATGTCTGGCCCTGAGGGCACCACTATGTTAGACTACAAACATATAAAACTTTTGACCAGCTTTGGAGCCAAACTAGGGAACATGCATTCATTCCCATGCCCACCTTTACAGAAGAAACAGGAATATAAAGGCACTTACAGTGGATGAATAATTGGAGAGTTTGGTACTCCACTGCTCCCTCATTCAGAGGTTCTTCCTTGCTCACTTTCTGAATTCTAGCTGGAGGGGGAAATCATTTAAAATAGCCTGGGGGATTTAAAGGGGAGAATCTTGTCCTTGCAAAAGCATTCCTATCACTTTAGCAGTGTTAGGAATTCCATGTCCCATGTAATGCCAAGTTTTGTCCACAGCGCGCACACACACACACAGGAATAATGCTGATATGTTAATGAAAACTATCAGTTCTGTCCTTTACTGTATAAAATCATGCCCATCTAATTTCTCTAGAGGCTTGTTATTGAGTGCTTTAAAAAATGAAGATAAAAGTATAAGGAGAAAATAAAATACTTGCACATCATGGGTGAGTGTTTCCCTCTACCCCACCCTTTGCCACTGGAAGCCTTATAAACTGCTGCAGGAGACGGGCTGTGAGCAACATCATGGGAGGGTGTTTCTACTAAGATTAAACTATGCTGCCCCCTTGTTATTCTTGCTCTTGGATACTGCACATTGTTTAAGTAATCTTGTTATATTTATAGTATTGGGACGTGGGTCTTTTTTGGTATGTTATTATATTTGCTATCGTTTTGCTCTACAGTATTATAAAACTGCTATTGCTATTGTTTTGCTATGTTATTACGAAATTGTTTTTGTAGCGCTTGCTTGAAATGCATCCCCATTTCTTTGTTGTAAGCCGCTTTGAGCACGATTTCGTGTGTGTGGAAAAGCAGCATACTGTTAAAATGAATGAATCTCTGAAACTCTGTTAGAAAGAAAAACACTAGAATGCCATAACTTGCCCTCTCTCCAGATCTATACATTTTACCTTGTTAGTAGAGTTTCAACGTCCAACGTAAGCAAGTTGACAGCTGAGACTTAAAATTGATCTGGATTCCTCTACGCTCCACTGTTTCTGGCCCTCCTGCTGCTGGTATGTTGGTGACAGAGCACAGGTGAAGATAAGGAGTCACAGCTATGGTAAACCATAGCTTAATATAACACAAATGAGTTTAGGTAAGCCTTGGGCTGACTTGTTCCCTTTCCTACACAGCCAGGAGAAGTTTGGAAACTTTTGTTTCCACTTTTGCTTAGCTGCAGCTTGTAATGACTTAACTTGAAGACATGAGTTTTGGAACTGGTTTGTATAAACAAACCGTAAGTCAACATTCACCATAGTTTAGGGTTCAGAGAAAATGCTGAACTGTAGTTAAGTAAAAGCAGAAGTATCACAGTCTGGGTTCAACAGTGACTAGGACATCAAGTCTGAGGTTACAAGGGCATTGAAGGGCTTGATGAACTTCTTGGCCCCGAACCTGATACTAGTGATCAAGGGCTCACTGAGCTTGGGGCTGATAGAAAGCAATATAATCCACATGAGCTACAGGTGAGCAGGGATCAGGACCAGTTAGTAGTGCAGCTTGAGGAGGGGG